TACCTCCAGCCAATCCAGTAGGTGATGGGTACAATGATGACCGACACATTGATGCCGAGAATGCTGCTGATGATGATGATGATGAAGATTTTCTCCGATCTTTCTAGTTAAAATTCTCAAAATCGGGGGTAAGCTTGCTTCATAATCTTGGTTTTTCATAATTTCACTCATATTCATATGTAAGAACATTTATGTTCGTCCCGAAACGTATTTTTGTTAACCCTTTTGTTATTTTACACCTAGTTCCATATCCATGCATAAACGTTTTTTTTATATTCTGGACTGATTTATGTATCGACATTTCCTCAGGTCTCGACAAAAGTGACTACTTTTGGTGTCCTGCCATCGTACCAAAGCCGCGTCTTCTTCTGTATGGTTTTTTTGCGTCTTCTATGGTTGTCCCGTCTCTTAGTTCATGTTTTGACTATATTGTAATATTGGATATCAAATAGTATCATGTCAGACTCAACAACTTTCCTTCTGTTATTTGTTTTAATTATATGTCATTGTGGCTGGTTTGTCAGAATTTATGGTTTGTTCGTTTTTTTGTTTCAATTATATATCATTGTCTCCTTTGATTGATATGGACAAGAATTTATGGCCGAAATGATATAAAAATAGCAACGAATATTTTAAGCCGAATTTTGCTATCATTAAAGTTTGTCACTAATTTGCGACGAAATTCGCGACGAATTTTCTGACGAAATTCGCGACAAATTTTACGACGATTTTGCGACGAAATTGCGACGGATTTTTGCGACGAATTTTGCGACGGACAGAGTCGTCGCAAATTTGCGACGAAATTGCGACGGATTTTTGCGACGAATTTTGCGACGGATTTTTGCGACGAATTTTGCGACGGACAAACGTTCGTGGCAAATTTACGACGAAATTTGTGACGAATTTGCGACGGACTTTTGCGACAGACAAACGTTCGTGGCAAATTTGCGACGAAATTGCGACGAATTTTGCGATGGATAAACGTTCGTCGCAAATTTGCGACGAAATTTGCAACAAAATTGCGACGGATTTTTGCGACGAATATTGCGACGGACAAACGTTCGTCGCAAATTTGCGACAAAATTGCGACGGATTTTTGCGACGGATTTTTGCGACGAATTTTGCGACGGATTGAGTTCGTCGCAAATTTGCGACGAAATTTGCGACGAATTTGCGACGGATTTTTGCGACGAATTTTGCGACGGATCGAGTTCGTCGCAAATTTGCGACGAATTTGCGACGAATTTGCGACGAATTTTGCGACGGACGTTTTTCCGTCGCAAATTTGCGACGGAATATTTGCGACGGATTATGTGCAGTCGCAAATTTGCGACGAATTTTGCGACGGATTATGTGCAGTCGCAAATTTGCGACGAATTTTTTTTCGTCGCAAATTTGCGACGAACTTGTGAATTTTCCGTTGCAAAATTTTGCGACGACCTAGTAGCGACGGAAAAATTCCGTCGCAAATTCGATTTGCGACGGATTTTTCCACATTTTCCGTCGCAAATTTCGTCGCTAATCCGGTGTTTTTTTGTAGTGCAAACATAGCGATGAATCAAACATTGTATAGTTCCTTAATCTTGATGAGAAGAATAACGTAAGGGTAAATTTGAAAAGCCAAAAGTGGGACCCCACTTTTGGTTTGAATATATAGATTTGAGGCAAACTAAGCATCACGTACTTCACCAATTCGAACTACGTGATCACAATTTGTGCACTCACGCGTGCTTAAAAGTCTTTAGTTCTAAGAAATAATTTCACAAGCCACACTGGCAATCACCTTTCAGCCCACTTTCCTTCAATTCGGTCTTGACATCTCCAAAGTGCGAGTTTGCTTTTCAATCATTGAATTATTTTCTTTGATGGAAAATCGCGATCTTAAGTGATAAATATGTTAAATGTTACTCATGTTGACATTAAGTACCTCTTAAAATGAGATGTCGTAAAAATGGGAACCAATATGTGCCCCTAACATTACTTTAGATGATTTACTTTTAAAGTAACGTTTACATATTAACCTTTTTTTACTTGCATAGGTACATACCCGGACCTTGATTTGTATTTGATGAACTTGAACCGTGTAACACATGCTTAGACTCGATGACATTATACTTCACTTGCATCAAATCGGTCCTCACGATATCTTTTTTATTTGCTTAGTCGAAAACCCAAGTAAATATTTGCTCATCACTTTCAGAAAAAAATGAAGAAGAGGAAAACAAAGGAAGATAATTCTCCCTAGAGCTCACACGTGAAGACAAGTTAGTGCCATCTTCTAAGTCGTAAATCCTTGCTCTTATCTTCCACTCATGAACGTAGGCCTTTGGTTGAATTACATAAATTTCTCACGTTGTCTCTAGGCTCTCAAGTCCGTTGTCAATGCTTTTTGATAGCACAGGGTTTTGTTTTAGAGACAGTTTGCCGATGGTACGACGTTAGGAAGTTCGAATTGCTAAGGCTGCGCATGACAACTTGCCAAACAGTGTTTGATTCTGTTCTTTTGTTCCCAGAATCAGTTTGGGAACAGAAATGCGTTTGTTTAATTTTTTGATTACGGGCACAATTTTGTCAAAAATTGTTCTCGGGAATCGATTTTGGAAGCGAGAATCAAGAATAAAAAAAAGTAGCTTCTTGATTAAGGAACAATTTTGAGAATCAATTTTTTTTTCTTCTTCCTTTTCTTGGTTTTTAATTTAGCTTCTAATGTCTGGCCCGAGAACCACCATCGCTGGATCTGACGAGAATAAAATATTTTAATAAAAAATATTTTACCGGCCATGGCCGGCGACTAGGCCATAACCATAAAAAAGAAAAAAATATATTTTTAATAAAAAATATTATTAATAAAAAAAATATTTTACCTGCCATGGCCGGTGACCAGGCCATGGCAAAAAAAGAAAAAATATATATTTTTAATAAAAAAAATTATTAATAAAAAAATATTTTACCGGCCATGGCCAAAAAAAAGAAAAAAATATATTTTAAATAAAAATATTTTAATAAAAAAATTATTTTACCAGCCATGGCCGGCGACTAGGCCATGGCCAAAAAAATAAAAATATATATTTTTAATAAAAAAATATTATTAATAAAAAAATATTTTACGGTAGTGGCGCGACTGAACCATGGCCCAAAAAAATAAAAATGTATATTTTTAATAAAAATATTTTAATAAAAAATATTATTAATAAAAAATATATTTTACCGGTCATGGCCGGCGACCAGGCCATGGCCAAAAAAAAGAAAAAATACTTTTAATAAAAATATTATTAATAAAAAAATATTTTACCGGTCATGGCCGGCGACCAGGCCATGGCCAAAAAAAAGAAAAAATACTTTTAATAAAAATATTATTAATAAAAAATATTTTACCGGTCATGGCCAGGCGAAGCGAGGCTATGGTCAAGAAGGAGGAAAAGAAAAAAAGAAAAGAAAAAAAAAGAAAGAAATATTAAAATATTTAAAAATATTATTAATAAAAAGAAATTTTGTGGCGTTACCAAACGCATTTACATTCTTTTTCTATTCCAGGGGATGAAATTTTGGGCGTTAACAAACGCCTTAAAATGCTCGGAATCAATTGGACACGAGAATCAAAAAGAATCATTTCTGAGCAGAATCTGTTTCCGGGCACAGAATCGTTGTCATGCGCAGCCTAATTGTCCCAGGACAACATTTTCTCTTGAAGAAAAATTATTCGATGGAATATAACATAGACCGGTCTTTTTCTCATTCCTCATGTGATGTGGTTGTCATGTTGACTTCAACTTAACCAAAAGCCGCCACTGACCTATTAAGGGCCAACTAGAAGTCAAGTGAGATACGAGAGGATTTCTCGCTTCCTATGCAATCAAAGATCTAAGTTGGGGATTTGATTATACTAATTGTCTAACTAGTGTCCTTTCGGTTCCCTAATTTGATTGATTTGTTACTGAAATGATTCAAGCGATCTTCAACCATTTTATTAATCTATGCCACTAAATAACATCCATGCATGAGTGTCGGGAAAGATAAACAACCGCAATCAATGCAATAAATGTAAAGTATAAAGAAGTAAATTCAAGGAAGTGTAGGCAGAGAATATACATGGCATTGTCATTAAAACCCTAGGACAGCAACCCCCATGAGCTAAGTTCAAATCGAGTTCAATTTCTTACCTAAAAGATCAACTACTAAAACTAAGCTATATCGAATGTACTCACTAAAATCACAAAACTATTACGCTAACTAAAATGATGCAAAGTTAAATCTAGCGCTAAAACTTACAACCTAATCACGGTCTATGTTTCTGACCATTTTCCAATTTTTTATTCTTATTTTCGATTTTATTATTTTTTATATATTTTTTAATTCCATTTATTTATTATTATTTTATTATATACTACGAGTCTAGGCTGGGCCTTCAGACCCGGCACGGACACGGGCTGAACACAAGTCTCACATATCAGATCTATGGGCACAAGTCATGGGGCTTATCGCCTTAAGAGGAGGCTTCAATCAAAAATTCAAACTGGGCTCAAACCATAGAATTGACCCATTTTTCTATTTATTCTCATTCTCTCTCTCTCTTTTTTCTAAAATCTTTTTTTCCTATCGTCTTCTTTCTATCGTCTTCCTCGTGCGCATCCTGGGAGAGCTCCGCTCTACTAAAATAAACAAACTCAAACCCCATCAATGATCGACGTATTCAAGCATCGAACGGAACTTCACAATTGTCTGGCTTCAGTCGCCAGGAGCCACCGCCATCATCCGTTAACCGTCATGCATAAGCCGAGATTTGCGAAAAGACACACAGGATATAAGCGTAAGAACTGGACCAGCGCAAGATTTACTCAGCTAATCAACGTATGGGTCGAAGATTTCAAGCCACGCTTCTCGCCAAGCAAAACGACCGATCCCCATGGGGGCCATATAGATGCAAAAAAAATAGCAAAAATAGATTGTCAATGACATATTCGAAGACCACAAAGTGTGCTGGACAGCAGATCCGCAGTAAATGAGGAAAAAATGTTATCCACAATGCATAGACTAACAACCACATCTCATGATCAGTATCGTTGAACAAAATCAATCCGAATATGTCAGTTTTGCTTCCTAATCAATCAACAACACGAGGTAAGGGTCGCAGATTTAACCCATGCATTCCACCAAGCACTTGGTGAGCATCTCAGGAAAACGACTCAATGTGCGGTGTTAACACCAGACGGCAATCCAAATATTTCTTTCTTTGCAGAATTGCGAATTTCACAATATAGTACATCTTATCCATGCCTCTTATCTCTTTATCGTTTGCACTATTAAACCAAAACACCCAGTTATCTTTCACAAAGGCTCGCTTACCTCCTGCACCGTACATGCCGGAGATACTTGAGCCAGACATGATGCCGCCCACGTTCTAATGAATCGAAGCGTCTTGTGCGCCAAGTTATCCTCTAATCCACTCTCATATTTATTTGAATCTCCCATGAGAGATTAAAACTGAATGCCATTGGTTACTCCGACAACAACCCGAAGCGCTAATCCTCGGAATTCCTTCCTTGAAAACGTCTTTCCATACGCATCTGTTTCATTGGCTCCCAATTTCTTCTGTACACATCTCATATACCGAGTCCCTCGAAAACGTCTTTCCATAGGGTGTCATAGTCAGATTCCCAGAGTACAGTAGGATCCAGAAATTGATTGTCTTCAATCACAATCTTCAAATCATCCTCCAGCTCCCGGCATCTTATCACATATCCCAACTTTTTTAGGGTTCCACCCGATACTGTAAGTCTAAGGCTAAATCGTAAATAGCTGTCCTCAAATTGGTCAAAATCAACTCCTCCCTGCAGTACTCCCCACGGCATATTTATTTCGAGAAACTGAATCCACATGTGATCCGAGACAAATGAACCGAGAGTTCCTGATAGCACATTTCCCCTTTGTTTGTTAACATGCGGCACAATGTCGAAAGATATTTCCTTTTCTCCATCTTCTACACCGATAACAACACAGAAAACCAATCCTATGAACTTCTTGTACAAGTCCTCTGAAGCCATGAAAGATATGGTATCGTCCTCAACAAGGATGAACTTCTTTGGTATGTCTCCTCCAGGATGAACTACCCGGTAATCGGGATCAATATTGGAATAGCGATGCTTCTGTTATATAGATAAATTGTTAGAAATACCCAAGTCTGTAATTACTCCAAGTAGAAGAGTTTGACCTGAGCATATATCCAGTAATTCAACCACAGCTACAGTTCTATAATAATTAGGCATATGAAGTCTTCCTTGCGTTATATAAAATACTCATGGGATAGAAATCATTCCCTTGCAAGTATTGTACCACCCCTATTACATATACATGTAGAAGCACTTTATATTAGATTTGTTTGTTTGTCTAGAATTTTAGTTTCTGCATTATACAAACAATGCACCAACATACACTCCATATCAACACACGCACATGCAGGCACTCATGTAGAGACATGCGCGAGAGTGCGCACGCAAAGCAGAGAGAGAGAGAGACCTCAATTGAGAAGTCAACCGTATTCACTCCTTCGTGGACTAATTTGCTTGAACTTTCTTCCTCTGTGCTCGATTGACTATCTTCATTACAAACCTCGTACAGTAAAGCTGAATCCAACAACTGGTCGTCTTGAAACAAAACCTCCAGATTGTTCTCTAGTGCTTTGCATAAAAGTCGGAATCCACATTTTTTCACAATTACACTATTATATGGATGTGAATCTGCTGTTATGCTAAAGTGGAAATGACTACAGTCATTTGGACCAAATTCGTCTACTTTCCACAACTCCATTGCATCAAAATACTCAAACCACACATGATCTGAATTACAATAATTGAAAGACCTGGAGTGATCAGACACTGTGAAATTGGTGGATGCTTGAAGCTCAAATAAAGCACACTCATCTATACCTTTTATTTGGAATGCAACACAGACTGCTAATCCTAGGAACTTTTTATACAAGTTCTTTGAAGCCGTGAAGGATATGTAACCCTCTTTATTAGGGAGCAACCACTTTGGCATCTCTCGTCCAGGTAGAATAACTCGACAATTTGTTTTGGGATGAAATTGCTGTCATAGATGTAGACGGTTAGTTAGCAATAGCATTACTAAGATTTCTTGTATTTAACTGGTGGAAATAGGATACGCATTGTCGAAGAATTTGTAATTTGATGAATATGTGTTGTTGAAGTATTTCATTGGGTGATCCTTATAATCCCATAGTGAACAGGAGTTCTATAAATAGAGAGAATATACTATGCACTGCCTTATAGCCACCGCTACTAGAATATCCCAAACTAATTTTTTGACCACCAAAAACCCAAAACTAATACACTTATGACAAATTTGCCCCAAATTAATTTTTTTACTACCACAAATCCCAAACTGGTACGCTTGCAACAAATTTACCCTCCGTTAAATTAGATTAATACCACGAAAAACCACAAATTGGTAAACCTGTAATAAACGGAGGGCTAAAACCCCAAAATGATACACCTATCTACTGCCATGTGTCATCCTACTCAGCAATTTGACTGTAAAATTTAACGGAAACTAATGGAAGGTAAAATTGTCATAGGCGTACCAGTTTGGGGTTTTTTATGGTCAAAAGATTAGTTTTGGTTAATTTGTCACGAGTGTATCAATTTGGAGTTTTTCATGATATTAACCCGCTGAATTACTTTCTATATGTTTTCTTTTCTTATTTAGCCCACAGATCTAGGAATTTGGCCTTTGGCAATATACAAACACTTGGTGTAGCCATTATGTCCATGACTCCATATTAATGAGAGAGAGAGAGAGAGAGAGAGAGAGTCTAACCTCAAGCTTGACAAAGTAATCCATGATGAACCCGTTACGGATCAGTTCATGACATGAAGATAATTGAGTATTGTCAACATCACATATGTTGGAGGGAACCTTGCTCAGAGATTTGCAACTAGCTGCCTGTAGTTCTCTCAATTTCCTTGGAATTTTAAGGATCTCTCGTAACTGTTGGCAACCCGAAACGTTCAATTTGAGCAAATTATATAGATGCCCGCATGAAGGAAGGTTAGTAAAATTGTTTCTCATCAACTGCAAAGATCGCAAGCGGGGAAAACATGAAAGATTCTCCAGGAAATCTACTTCTGATAGACAACAAAAATTAAGGTCTAACTCCTCTAACATAGGAAATCCAGTCTTTGTATGGGGATCACTTGAATCCTCCTCCTCCTTTGGAAACTTAATTAGTTTTGAGCAGCCACGAAGCCTCAAAATGGTAAGATTTTGCAACCTGTAAATGCTAGACGGAAGGATTGCCAGGTTCTTACAATAACGTAAATCCATACCCTCCAGAGAAACAAGATTTTCTATGGATGTAGGAAGTTCCTTAATTGACGTCCCATATAAAATAAGTCCTCGCAAGCCTTTATTTTTATCTGGAATATCAACGAAACTTTGCAATTTAGAGCACTTCTGTAAATTCAGCAACCGTAACTTGCCGTGAAATGCAATTGATTGGTGAACACGCTCCAAGTTTTGGCACCCATGGAGATGCAATTCCTCGAGATATGGAGTACAGTCGAGGTCATGCATACAAACCAGCCATTGGCATTCACTCACGTTAAGGAACTTTATGTTTTGAAAGTCCTGCAAGAATAATGAAACAAACTTGGATAGACATTTGGGACGAAAAACAAAATGAGATAAAAATTCAAATCAAAATCTGGCTCTGATATTTTAATAAAAATCACTTGATCATAATTCAAGCCATAGGTGATCAGAATTCACTTGATCATATGGTGTATATAGAGAACTGCCTCTTCCACAACATACGGGTGCAGAAACAATGCTTGTAATTCCGAGAGTGAGAGTGAAAGAGTGATGTCAAGTGGAGCACGTGAGCCGCGCTCCATCCTTTGCCAACTAATTCGTCCCATCAATTTAAGCTAACATAGGTGACAATTGACAGATGTGGAATCTTATGTAGAGATTTGCAACCATCCGCCGTAGATCTCGCAAAGGCTGTGGAAGCTGTGGATCTCTCCAAGTCATCACTTAGTAGGAAGTAGTGATTGGTTGATCGTTTTTAAAAAATTGCACATTTTGTACCATTAAATAAGACCATCGATGCTTTACATGTTATTGAGTTTTATTTTCGTGAATTGTATGCCTAGATTTCATTCCAAAGGCAACCCCTTTTGATAGTGATGTCAAGTTTATGAGTCACTTTTGGAGTACATTATGGGGAAAAATGGAGACTCGACCTTAGTTCAATTCTGCTGGCCATCCTCAAACCGATGTACAAGCTGAGGCTTTTAACAGAATTTTAGGCATTTCATTAAGGCGTTTTATAGGAAAACATGTTAAACAATGCAACTTGTTATTGGTTCAAGCTGAGTTTGCATATTATAATTTGGCGAGACAAACTACTCAAAATTGCTCAAAGTGGTGTATCGAAAGCATCTTTTATGTCCTTTTGCTCTTACACCATTACCCACAAAAATCGAAAAACATTGGAAGGTTCAATCGAAAGCTTTTAGGGCGCACTCACTTCAATGATGAAGAAAATAAGTAAGAAAAATCTCTTTCTCTTTCTCTTTCTCTTTCTATGCTCGATTTTGAAAAGAGTCCAGTCAAATTGTTTCTGCTGTATAGTATATTATCTATAAACACAGTTTATTTTTTCTTTTGGACCTGAACCATAGTTTACTTATTAAATAAAGTTTTATTCTTGGGTGTTGTCCCTTATTGTTTTTTCTTTGTCCGTCTCTCTGCCCCTGTAGTGGATTCCTAGAACACAAGAGTGATCAAGAGAGTGTCGTGTCCTTGGAGTGGCTTACAAAAGTGGTTATTTGGCTGAGGGAGACCTAGATTATCTAATCTCGTCCTTCCCATTCATTGTAGTGTTTTCCACCTCACTAAGGTCAAAAAACACTTTTTTATTATTTTTTCCTTCAACACAATCCGAAGTCCGTGGGACCAACGAGCATGACAGGAAAATTGATAGACAATAAGTTTGTCCCATATGAAGCATGGGAAGAGAAAAATATAAGAGACTTTTTACAATTATAGTACTATGCGCACACGAGTTAAGTGTATGTACAAAATCGATACTTGAAAAATTGAGCAAAACCACCAATTTAGAAATGTTTAATAGAAAGAAATTGTTGATAAAATACACAATACATTGAAACATATTAATGTATGTGGAAGGAAAAAAGATATTTCATGATTCCAATAAAAATATTTGTTGTCGGATAAAAAAAGAGTCAAATTTTGATATTGAAACATGTGAGAGATCAAATGAACTTACTAAATTAGGCATTTCTCTATGGACACAACATTTGCAAAATAAGTAATTTACTACATTTCGGCGAAGAAAAAAAAAATGAGATCCCATCGAAGGTCCTTTTTACTTTATATAGTAGTATAGATGATATGAATACAAATATAATTGCACATACATACATGCCTATAACTTATATAGTAGTATAAGTCAAAAGGCAAGATATTGTAGTTCTAGTGGTAGCAACAACGCGCACAAGCATGCCAATATCAAATTCATTTTGCATTTTTCGAAATTCAATGAGACCTTAGGAACTTTATCTTTAGAAAACTCAATTTCTCTTTGAGGATGTATGCACAATTGGCCGGATATGGTACACCACGTAAGTACTTGTGCACATGTTTAATATTATGCATTTGATTTCTCGTTGATGATTAATGTTTGAATTTGTTCTTGCTAGTCGATTACATGTTTTATCAAACAAGCCCTAAATCTCATTTGAGTGAGTTATCAACATTTATTTTATCGTTTCGAAATTATTAAAGGTTATAATGATTTAGCAACAGTTGTTTGCGGAGCTTATCGAAATGTTAAATTTACAGTCTTTTATAAAACTGCCAACCCTTGTTTGAGTCCTTTTACCAATGTTTATTTCATTTTTGGAATTACCAACCGTTTTTTCCATACTGTATTTTTTTTTGGTCGAATACTGTATTTTTTTTTTGTTTGAGTTATATTAAATTTACAATTTCTTTAGAAAATAACCAATTTTTATTTGAATCACTACTAATGTTTTTTCTAGTGTTTTCAAATTATAAACTATTTTAATAATCTATGAATGTTTATTTGCCAGCTTACCAACTTGTTTACGTTACTATCTCTTCTAGAAAATTACCAACTGCTATTTGAGTCCACTTACCAATGTTTATTAGATTCTTTGTAAAAATTAAAGTTGTTTCTATAGCTTTGTTTTAGTTGTTTCTATATTTTACCGATATTTATTTGTTGAAGTTATGACGAGTTGAACTAACTCCTATACTAAATTACCTACTATTTCCTAATTACCAACTAACCCAATAATCCAATATTTGAGTTATTTATCAATATTCATTTGATTGTTTCAAAGGTACTAACTATTCCGATAATTTACTAAAATTTGTGGTAACTTACCAATTGGAAATGGTTAATAACTCATCCGAAATTATCAATTCTTATTTGAGTTAATTACCAATATTTATTTAATTGTTTAAGAAGTACCCACTGTTTCAATAGTTTACCAAGGTTAATTTGGAAAGCCTACTAGCATGTTAACATTACCACTCTTTTATGAAATTACCAATTATGTTGAATATAACTGACATCATTACAATTACCATCATTTGTGCTGATTAAGTTACCCACTCCTATTTGAGTGACTTACCAACTTTTATTTGATTGTTTCAAAAGTACACATAATTTACCATGTTTGCTTGGGGAACGTTCCAACTTGTTTAAGTTACAATCAAATAAACATTGGTAAATGGACTCAAAAAAAAAATCAGTAAATTGTGTAAGAGTTAGTAACTTCAACATGCTGATAACATCTGCAAATTAAATGTTGGTAAATTATTAAACCGGAAAGTGATTTCGAAACAATTAAGTAAACTTCATTAACCGAATCAAATAAGAGTTAGAAAAACTAACACTAGATGGTACCCTATCCTGTTAGGAGTTGGTAAATCACTCAAATTAATATTAGTGACTTGGAAGTGCTTGGAAGTTCCTTGAGGTTCGACCACCTACTTAAGTTCAATATCTCTAAATTTGGCACCTCTGAAAGGTCAGGAACACAAATCAGCAACTTACAATGGCGAAAATTCAGAAACTTCAAATTCCTAAAACGGTGCAAATTAAAAAGAGCAGCTGAACAAGATTTTGATAAATTCAATTTGTATGCACCGAAAATGAAAACCGTTAGCTAAAGAATTTATGATGTACCTTTAAGTTCCCTCCAAATTCCTTCATCCGGCTGTCATGCACATCAAAGCATATGAGTTTCTTTGGAACAGCACTAAACTTCAGAGTGGATAAAGGACATCCAGGCCATTCAAGCCACCTTAAATCATTAGGAAGACATATGGAACCTCCGCTGATTTGTGCATTCAGAAGTATGAGCAGTTTCAGTCTCCTCATGTGTGTGAAAGCACTGGGACTGATGTCTAGCTCTTTTTGTGTAGGCAACTGCAGCACTATGCCTTTAACAGCATTGGTTCCCTGTCAAGGAAAAGAAAATAATCATTAAAACCAACCGCAATTAGGTAATAGCATGTAAATTAAAGAAGATAAGATTATCAACGGTTTCATGAGAAGCTCTCACCGTATCCCACAACAGTACTTCAAAAACATCATCATAGCACCATAATCTACTCCGTTTCCCAGGGTCATTTGGACACTCTTGTTTAACGATATCCTGACCCATTAGCTGAATCAAGTCATGCATTTGTACACTTCTGTCATCCTCAATTGTCACTAAGGATCTCTCTATTAGAGTTTGAATCCCAATTAATGTCTTTAATCCACAACTATCAAGTACTCCGGTTACATAATGTCGTTTTCTCCCCTTAAAGAAGCAAGCAATGTCAAGAAAAATGTCCTTCTCATTGTCCTCCAGTGCATCAAAACTTATCTTGAGAACACTGTTTATATCTTTATTAGGACTTTCACCAAGTTTTTCCAATGTACTCTCCCATTCCCCTCTGCTTCTACCACATAAAAACGGACCCAACACCACAATCGCTAAGGGAAGGCCATTAGCATAGCCCAAAATATTATCTATGAGATCCCTGCTTATGTCTTTTGTCTGGTTTCCTGGAAAAGCATATGATCTCAGAAGTTCAAAAGCTTCACCTTGATCTAATGCTTTAACTTCATATACCTGATCTATCCTATGAGCAGTTAGTACATGTTTATCTCTTGTCGTAATGATGATCCTACTCCCTTCTCCAAACCATTCACATTCTCCAGCTAATGCATTTAACTGGTTCCCATGATCCACGTCATCAAGCACAAGCAGAATCTTCCTGCTGCAGAGTCTATCTCGTATCAGATTTACACCTCCATCCACACTAAAGACCACTAAATTTTCTTTCCATAATATCTCAGATAACAGTGTTTTCTGCAAATGAACTAGGCCATCAGGTTTACTGGAAGTTTCTCTAACATTTGGAAGAAAGCTGCACCCATCAAACTGACTAGCAATGCTGTTATAGACATCTTTAGCGACAGTGGTCTTCCCAATACCTCCAGTTCCCCATATTCCTATCATCCGAACATCATCCGAGCCCGTACTGAACAATGACATTACTTTTTCCACCCGGCAACCTACACCAACAGGATACTTGGCAACACTCAAGGGTACTCGTCCTACTATAGTCGAGATCTCTTTGACAATGCTCTCGATGAACTTGGTATCGTCTCTGCCAAAACAAAGCAGCAAAAAGAATGCGAATAAATGGAAATATACAATCCATTGAACTAACTAAAACTAACCCCAAGTAAACAATCACTCTTCAACAGTCCAAAACATTGCCCTAACACTAATCGATGCCATCATGTATCAATAAAATTAGAGAATTCCAAATTCTTTTGCAGGGTCGAATAGGAATACTGTGATTACCCATGGTCATAATGCCAACCGGACAAATTGGCGGCTTCGATTAGAGTTTCCCTCCATTTCTTCACCCTCTCAGAATCCTTTCCCAATTTTTCCTCGTGCTTGGCCAATGCCCTGCCGTAACTCTCTCTCTGCCCTCGAATCTCCCTCGGCTCCACTCTGTAGAACACGGGCAGCACCAGCTGCCCCTTGAGCCTCTTACACTCCATTACCTTCACCAGCTCGTCCAAGCACCACCGAGACGAAGCGTAGTTCTCGGAGAAGACGAGCACGGCGATCCGCGAGTCCTCGATGGCCTTCGTGAGCGCCGGCGAGATCTCGTCCCCGGGCCTCAAGTCCTCGCTGTCGATGTAGGCGTTGATGCCGCCGTGAAGCAGAGCCCTATGGAGGTCAGCGAGGAAGCCGCGGCGGACGTCCTCGCCTCTGAAGCTGAGGAAGACGTCGAACCGCCATTTTGCTTCGGAAGAAGAAGAAGAAGAAGAAGACGCCATGGGAAGAGAGAAAGTGAGATTAGTTTGGATTCGTGTGTAGCAATGAGCGATGCTTCATCGCCATGGGAGGCTTCGTCTGGAGATCATCGTAGAGTTGGTCGAGAAATCGATGCTGACTGAGATACATCGAACGTCGCACAGTGTCAGGAAAATTGTCGTCTCTCTTTTCTTTTAAAAAAAGATCGGTGATTTTTAAAAAGTGTTGATAAATTTAAAAAATTTGCAAGTAAGACAAATAAATATACATTAATTCAATAGAATAATTATTGATATTGTAGATAAATAAGGGAGTAATCAAAATTAATTGGTACTTTAATTGAAAAAAAAGGTGAATGGCCACTCAAATATGTGTCGTTGATTTCACATAATAATTGGTAAATTTAACGTGCTGGTAAAAAAGTATCCAAAAGTTTATAAATTATAAGAGAATATTTATTTTACGATACAAGAGAAGTTGATATTAAAAAACAAAATAAACATTGATAAAAACTCAAGTAGGAGTTTGTAACGCAAAACTTATTGGTAACTGCATCGAATACAAAGATTGTAATTACTCCATTTAAGATTGGTTATTTCTAAATAGAGTTGGTAAATTTAACAGTTTGGTAAATAAGGCAAATCAAAGCTCGCAATTTAATGGCAAATTTAGTAAATTCAATAATATAACCCAATAATGGTTAAATGGTAAGCAACTTCCAATGGGACTTGATAAACCAAAACTAGTTGATTACTTAATAAGGGAAAAACCGGTAAGTTAGATAAATTAAAGTAGATAAATTCATATAAGAGTTCGTAAATTTGAGGCGTTCGTAAGAGAGACAAGTAGAATTTGATAAATTAAAATAAACCATAAAACATTGACAAATAACTCAAATGAGAGTTGGTAGTTGATGTTTTGCTCGGAAAAAAATTTGGAAAAAGTACCAAAAAACGTTCTAAACTTATTGTATTGATATCAATTCAGTCATAAATCTTTCAATTGGACCATTTTAGTCAAATATTTTTGCATTTTAAATGATAAAAAAATTGATAAATTAAAATAAACCATAAAACATTGACAACAAAATTTTTTCTTTCTAGAAATATGAGAGTTAGGTAGTTGATGTTTTGGGTCGCATAAATGGTCCGCCCAAAATTGACCTATTAACCCGTTTATGACCCATTTATTCATAGTGTAAATATCTCGACCCATACCCGACCCATACCCAACCCATACCCGACCCGACCTATATTGCTAAAACACTTTTATATTTTACCTAATCTAGGAATACTTGTTTCTTATGATTTTTTTTTAAAATTATACTGCTAAAACATTTTATGCAATACAAAGCTAGTGAAAATTTTTTATAATTTTTTTTAAAATTGAGGTTCTATTTGTTTTACAAAAAATGCGACATTTCTAGAAAATATTTTCCATAAATTCATTATCCAAGAAAATAAAAAAAATTTAAATATTTTTTTATTTTTTAAATCGAATTTTTAATTATTTTTTATTTTTATTTTTCCTTTATTTTTGGCCGATCGCCGGCCGCCGTGGCGGCCGGCGACCACGAGCGAGACGAGCTCGCGGAGGCGGCAGCTCGTTCTCGGCCCGATCTTAGCGGCCAGAGGCCTCGCTGGAGCCTCGGCCAGTGGAGCCTCGCCGGGATCAGGCGAGCCTCGAGGTCGCCGGATCGGGCGAGCTCGAGGCTCGCCAGATCGGCGAGGCTCGAGCCTCGCCCGAGGCCGGCGAGCTCGAGCTTCGCCGGCCTCCGCGAGGTCGTCCCGCCCGGTGGCCGGTCGCGTGGCCGACCACCGGCCGGAATAAAAAAAAGAAAAAGAAAGAAGAGAAAAGAAAAAATAAAAAATAAAAGAAAAGAGAAAAATAAAAATAATTAAATTTCGATTTTTTTAAATATTTTTGTAAAGAGTGAGAGAGTATGTGGATGGGTCTAGTAGGTGGGTTGGACATGGGTTCCAAACTCAACCCATTTAGACCCATTTATCTTTAAGCTTTAAAATTTAAAACCCATTTAAGGTTGACTCTTTAAAATTAAAGTGACCCATATATGACCCATTTATTTTTAAATGGGTCATATATGGGTTTAAGACCCATTTTGACACCTCTAGCGAGGGCTAATGACCCTCGCCCGGATCTAGGCAAAGGCCCTCGTGCCCTCGCCGGCCATGGGTGAGGGTCGTCGTGCCCTTGCTAGCCACAGGCAAGGGCATTGTGGCCTTCGCCTTGTGGCCGGCAATGGTGTGGAGGCCCTCGCCCAGACCAGCCTGTGGCCAGCGATGGTCGGTGCCAACCATCGTCGGCCAACAATTTCTAGAAAAATAAAAAAGAAGGAAAAGAGAAACATTAAAAATATGAAAAAATTTTATAAAATTTATTCATGTTAGCGCCGGCGGTTCCACGTAAGACCGCCGTCATCTACATCAGTGATTTCTTACCTAAATTGGCTGGATGGACTGAATTGATATCAATGCAAAAAGGTTTAGAACTAAATTGATCTAGTCAAAAAGTTTAGAATTGAATTGTTATCAATGCAATAGATTTATGATTTTTTTTGTACTTTTTCCAAAATAATTGTTATGTCACCCAAACGAAGATATTCCATGGGATATTCTTTATGCTTTTGACAATTTATAGCTTTTAGTCATCACCAAAACAATTTTGTATTATTGTGGAAAGAAACTAAATACCCAATAATTAATCCTCTAAGTCCATTCATTACTTGATTAGCCTGTCACATGTTTGAAAATCTGGTCCAACACCACAAGGTGTTAACTAAATGATGCTTCCAAGTATAAAAACTTTAGTTTGTCAAGCAATGTTTGAAAATTAGATAAGTCCGCAAGATTCACGCCATCAGAATTATTTTCATTGCCAATGTGGATGATCGCTAGCGACAATACTTATCCATGATTTTTTATTTTATTAATTAATAAATCCCAAAACGCGTCATGAAAATGAAAAAGGATTCGCTTTTAAGCTAATGTTTTACTTTTTAGAAAAGAGACGGAATATATTAATTAGCCGTGTCATCCATCTTTTGAGAAAAAGCTACTATGAACATGGAAATCAAGAATATATGTGCACGACTTTCGAAGTTAGCAGTTTATTGAACTAATCATTATTTTATTCGGAAAAGATAAAAAAAAATAATAATAAGACCTCCGTTGTTTTAATTGGACTTGCTTTTTATTAAACCGAGATGTCTTCAAAGCAAATTAGCATATATACGGCCACTTTTTTTTTTAGTTGAATCCAAAACCTAGCAGAAATATAAAAAAAAAAAAAAGAAAAAAACTCATAAACCAATGTAAAGGGAAAAGAATGAAAGACTAGATAGTGACAATAGACGAGGCGATCTTTAACATGCGATGTGATGCTATCCACGACGTCCTCGGCATGGTTATTGATTCAGCATATAAAAAACAATGGTAAAGAAGCACATCACGTCAATTATTAATTACCCATCACTCAAATCCCAACTAGACAAGCCATCGGCATAAAAGATAGCTTTCTTCCATTTCTTCAAGCAAATTACTGATTAACATATATTTTTGAACTCTCATTTGAATTATTTATTATTGTTTATTTGTTTTCTTAATTTGTCAATCTTTCTCATCATTTACAAATTTTTATTTGCGTGTACTTAGTAACGCTTTAAGTTTACCAAATTTTGTAAGATTACCGACCTTTATTAGAAGGGTTAATACCACCAAAAACTCCAAACTGATACGCGTGTGTGACAATTTTACCCCGAACTTTTTTTTTATCACAAAAAACCCCAAACCGGTACACCTGTAATAATTTTACCCCGAACTTACCACAAAAAGCCCCAAACTGATATTCATGTGACAATTTTACCCTAGAACTATTTTTTAATTTTTATTAATTTTTTATTTTTTTTTCTTCATCTTCAACCTCTAGCGGTTGCCGGACCGGCGACCGGCCAGAGGTGAAAGCCGGCGAGGGCGGCCCTCGCCGGCGTCGGGAGAGGGCGACCCCTCGCCTAGAGTCGGGCGAGGGTGACCCTCGCCCGCGTCGGCGAGGCCGACCTCGCCCGCTTCCGCCTCTGGCTGATCGCCGGTTCGGCGACCGGCCAGAGGTTGAAGATGAAGAAAAAGAAAAGAAAAAATAATATTAAAAATTTATTAGTTCGGGGTAAAATTGTCACATGTGTACCAATTTTGGGTTTTTGATGGTCAAAAAAATAGTTCAGGGTAAATTTATCACAGGTTTACCAGTTTTGAATTTTTTATGGTAAATTCGAGATAAAATTATCATAGATGTACCAGTTTGGGGTTTTTTGTGGTAAAAAAAAATTTTGGGGCAAAATTATTACACGTGTTGCGGAAGCCAAGCGATCGAACAATAAAATTGACAGAATAAGAAAATAAATCGAACACCAGATTTACGTGGTTCGGTCGTAGTGACCTACATCCACGGGGAGAGCAGCACGGAATTCCACTATAGATCAAGCGATACAACGGAGATTACAACCACACTCGAGTCACTCAAACACTCTAAGTATTTCCCAAGCCCCAATTACACCCAATAACTCACACAGTGTTTAGCCTCACAATTTCTCACGAAATAATCTCTCAATCTCGCAAAGGAATTATATACAAATCTTAGCACAAGATTTACGCTTGAACCCTAATTCTTCTTGGATGTAATTCACGAACGAGAATCCATGGAAACACCCACCGCCAAGCACTCACGAACGTCTTCACGTCAACCGCGGCGCTTCAAGACTTCTTTATCAACAATAGCGCATCAAGACTTCTTCTTCTTGCGGCCAAGTTCAAGAATATATATGTATATATTTGTATGCCCACGTACAGTGGCCGACTCCAACTTGGAAAGAGATTCCATGCGGTCAACAAGTCCAAGTTTGGACTTTCCTATTTCTTCTTTCTTTGGCAGACCGTGACTCCCACTAAAATTAGGAAAGAATAAATATTCATTCTATTTTCCTTTTCTTTTGTTTGCTGCCAACTCTCGCATATTAGGAAAGCAAATTTCCAATATTTCCTTTTGCTCGATTTCGGACGTCCGCAAAATACCAATTCCGAATATTCAGATTTTCGCTTTGGGCTTAAACTCGAGACATATTTTCAACAACACGCGTACTAATTTGGGGTTCTTGGTGGTATTAACCCT